TTTCCTACTATTTTCCAAACCTCCTAATAACCACTTTACCTTCCCTATGAGACATTCCGTATAAAAAAAAAAAAAAGAACATGCTTTAAAATAGGCACATAATCAATTTATGTAGTAATTATTTGTATGGCTAGTTAAGATTATTATGTCTTGCTTCAAAATTATAATCCAAGATTTATCATCTACTTTTATATTACATATAGATTTCAAGAAATTAACCATAATGCACCGCACAGACACGTATAATAACCTTACATACATGGGTGGGTTAAAGTTGGGGAATTGGGTTGCTTTGGGGGAAATATGCTTTCAAATTGAATTTTAAGGTTATCGGGTAAAGCTAACCCTCTTTTTTGTTTTTTCACCCGGGGAAAAGCGTTGCCCATATAACTTTTTAAAAAATAAAAAAATAAAAGGACACACGCAAGTTGTTGTCTAGCTTTCTCTAGGGCAATATATAAAACAGATGGTGACCATGGCTTGCCCATCCATCCACCACATGCAGGGGTCAATATTTTTTGCTCTAGGCGGCGATTCTAGCCTCGTTCTTATGTGGATCCGTCATTGGGTCTAGGAACTTTTTACTCAAGAATTAAATTATTTTTTTTTTAAACAAAAGATTATCTTAAATATAATTTGATATTATTATCATTCATTAGTCAAGGAATACATAATATTACAAGCAAAAAATTTCCATGACGAGTTTTCATATTCAAATAAAATGTAACATTGTTTATATGCAGGCTAGCAATACAACATCAAAGGAAAGGAAACTCATGATTCGAACATTGTTCCAGTATATGAACATTGTCCGAAGTATTATTTTGTTCACGTATTCTTATTCTATTTGCTACAGATTAATCGTGTTTATACAACCACCCTCAGTGGCAGAGCCAAGATTTCACATTAGAGGGGGCCTTTCACAAAAAAATTAAAAATAATTCGAATAGGAGTCCTCAAGCGCTAAACGGGTTAATAAGTTAATAATATCATTTCATACTAATTAATAATTTATCCATTTATTACAATTATAATTGTCCTGAATTTCATATTTTAACATGGTTGAATATTAATATCATCATCTACACTATTAAAGACTCAAAATTTAATAATTTATACTTCAACAAAAAGAAGAAATACAAACAATGTTCATAAATCCCAATATTAAGATACCCTACTTAGACATGTAAAATAGGGGAAAGGGGAATTCACAAAGCTTAAATTAATCAGAAGAGGAAGAGAATGAGAAAAAAAGAAGAAGAGTCTTTACTCCAAAAAAACGCTAGGTCTATTTTAAAGTTCATACATGAACTATTAAATCTATAAATGCATGCACAAACTCTAATAAACCCTAAAAAGTGCCCCATCAGTTAGTCAAAATGTTAATAAAATCGTTAAATGCCTATGTTGATGCTGATTTTTGAATCAACACTAGAGCAATAGGATCACAATCACATACACATAAAACAAGTGTTTGAGTGGTTCACCAATAATTAGGTTACGTCTACTATAGTCATAATTGTATTTGCAAAAGAGCTATATACATTTATTTGAGAGAGAAAACCTAGCAAAAGAAAAGTGAGATAGAGGAGCTTTAGAGTAGGGTATCTCAACTATTATAGGGTCCCTATTAGAAATATGCCCTAAAGTCAAACATGTATTGTAACTTTATTGATGTTTAATGTATTACTTTTTGTTGGTAATTTTTAACAACAATATTAAAACCTTACAAGTGCACAAATCAAATGATAGTATAGTAAGCAAGTAAGGGTCGTTCCCACAGAGATTGTAATCTAAAGAGATGTTTATCAATGTCACGCAATGAAAACTAAAACACAAGGACTTCCACACACATGCCAACACCATGGGGGTTTTGATTTGATTTTGTGAATAAAACAAAACAAGGAAAAGAAAAGAAAACAGAATTTAAATTAGAGTTTAAGAGAAATTGGTTTAAAATCAGTCAAGAACAATAGCTAGGACTCACTATCCACCTCCAAACAATCAATCAATCCATAAACAACAATAGATAATCAATTTCTAGCAAGCATATGATGACGACACTCACAACAGGATCATGACATTTAACTCGAGTTGTATGATTCTCTCTTAAGTGTATGTAAAGTGTATGGCATTTATATCAATACGTGTTGATGTAGAATAAATGGCTGAATGAATTGAAGAAGAACTGGAGCGAAGAAGTGAAAAAGGACGTAGCAGGAATTTACAAATTTGGCCTTCCAGCTCCGATGGGGTCGCATAATACATTCTCAAAAAGGGAACGACGCCATGAGTCCAACTCACTACTATGCTGTGACATATGGTGGATTTTGGACTTCTGAAGTCCTTTGGCCTTCCAAAAGTGCATTTAAAAATACTATTCAATTTACAGACTTTTTGTCTCTTTTCTGTTACTTTATCAATAACCCCCCCAGGGCAATCCAATGGGTGAGAACGTAGTATTCAATTTACAGACTTTTCGTTTCTTGTCTATTACGTTTTCAATAACTCCCCAGGTGGATTCCAGAATAATTGTTCTTTAGGATTTTGGCTTGAAAATCTATTTGCTTGTGCTGCGTCAAGTGGTATCAGAGCGGGTCTCTCCCATCTCGATATTATTGGCTTATCATGGCTGATCGTGAAATTGCTGTCCCAATTACTCGAGCAGATTTGGATGCTCAGAATGTACGAATTGACAATTTAGCCAATCAACTTGGGGAGATGCATGAGTTGTTGTTACAAGCTATTGGTGACAACAATGGAAGATAAGATAGAAATTGTTTGGGCCAAAAATTGACACACCCAGCCCAGCGAAAAGATGGAAGCCCAAAAAACCAGAAGAGACCAGCCCAAGGCTCATCAGAGCAAACAAGGCTAATCTGGGCCTCACAGGCCCAATATAATAGGAAGAGGGAGCCCAGAAATAGGAACAATCCCACGTGACATCTCTGGGATAAAGAAAAGTCAGCAATGGCAACTGTCATAGAAGAAGTGATTGAAGGGTTCATGACATCAAGTTGATTCTGAAAAAACTGAAGATCAAATCCCTCTTACATATATATAT